TGACTAGTGAGTACTACGACTCCTCGCAGTATCACAACACCCTCTCGCTGACTAGTGAGTACTACGGCTCCCCGCAGTATCACAACACCCTCTCGCTGACTAGTGAGTACTACGCCTCCCCGCAATATCACAACACCCTCTCGCTCACTAATGAGTACTACGGCTCCCCGCAGTATCACAACACCCTCTCGCTGACTGATGAGTACTACGGCTCCCCGTAGTATCACAACACCCTCTGCACTGACTCATTGAAATTGTAGCTCCCCGCAGCCTTACTGCACTTACTCTTACCACTCCACAATCTCATCCTCAAGTTGACACCATGCTGCGATCATTAACTCATGCTCCGCGGCCCAGCATAGATAGGTACACACACACCCATCCGGGCTAAGCATCACTACTTCAGACGACCATCGTCGTGACAAAACCTCTTTTTCTCGCTGCGATTCGCGTTCTCAAATAAATCCATTTGATGCCAATTGGCTGAAGGGTCCCCACCGGAACCATAGACACTTGATACACCACTCGTCATCTCAAACTCAAACTCAAAATAATCCGAGATTTTTGGACATTAAACTCGGATACCCTGGAATATCATCACAACGCCTCGCAGTGTCTTGACTCTTCCACTGATCTCATACTCATGGCATCATACTCAGATACCGTATTGCTTCCTCGGAACCTCGCAACTGGTCTTTCTCTCGTGCCACTTGTAACCCCGGAATACTCCATCTCCCAATTTAAAACACGGAAAAATTGCCAACGACTCAGAACACGAAGATGACAATCCAAAACTTCCTCCTCTATTGCTCAAAACTCATGCAAGAATACTCTTAACGACCTTGAAGTTGGTTGTCCAAACAACTTCTTCCCTTCCCATACTGCATATATAATAGCCCATACTCTGATCCAGAAATTCTCAACCGCCGAACTACCCTTACAAGCCAACCACCTCGAATTCACCATTTAACCTTGAAGGATTCCTAACCATCATAAGGTCTCCGACCAACGGCCACTTGCCGTAGAGACACTCATCCTTTCTCAAACACGTACCACATGCACTATCTCACTCTGCACCTCTCATTGACCACCAATAACGCTGGTCTCGGGAATCCGCACCGCATGTCTCTATATCCAGTTCTCTAACCACTCTTGAACAAACCTCTGATCTCCTCAAAAAGTACCCGGTTCTCCCCCACTCAGGGTTCGAACCATCACTAATTGGTTCACCAACAATCTATCCCACAGACTGTTTTTACCAGTAACATCGCACCTACTCTTGGAAGGTGATACACTATGCTCGATGATCTCCCCGATGGAGATCAAACAACTCCAAATACCCCGAATCTCAGATGGAATCCTCAGAAGCTTCTCATCATTACTGCCTCTAGTCATTCAGAATCTCGCACCATCCCACTACCGGACATCTCAACTGTCCAATAGTAACCCTGACTCTCTGTCTAAAAATAACGAACTATCATATTCCTCATCCTCGACTCTTCAACCAACGTTCCATCACGTGGGTTGTAATAAGAGTGGAGTCCTCATTACCACACTCGATACTCATCATAGACAATAAAAGCCACCGCCCCAATATCCGCTTCTTGATCGTCTGCCGTTACAGCTAATACATGCCCTACTATGCTCAAATAGGGTGTATCCTTGTCCTTAACCACCTCAGTCCCCGCTGACAACCTGCTCATGCTCTAACACTACCTCTCGGCAGACATACTGCCCAAAATACTCTGATGAAAGATCGTAACCAAAGCTACCCCACATGGCTCACCCCCAACCTTGGAAACCGAAAATCTCAATACCTCTCCTGTTTCTCACAGGAACAGAAATAACACCGCTCAGGTCACAGAAAATGACATTTCCACCATCAGCTGATTGCTCAACTCATGCCGTAATCCTCCATAACCGCCATCTCTACTTATTTTTGAGTCTTGCGACTCCAATTGGCATCTCACCAACAATCCCTCGGAGCTAACTCGATTTCCCTTTTAAGGGATGCTTCACTAAAACTCGTTCATCATGGCCCTCTAACCCCATACTCTTTCACCTCTGATCTCAGTCTAACCAATCACCACAGAATAACTGGTAGAACCAATAACACTAACTGCCACAGGTCATGGTACTCGAACCATGTGGCAACCTCTCGATCTGCTATGAATCATGGTACCCGAACCATGTTATCTCTTCTTAATCCGCTACGAATCATGGTACCCGAACCATGTCATCACCTCTCGATCTGCTACAAATCATGGTACTCGAACCATGAAATCACCTCTTGATCTGCTACAAATCATGGTACTCGAACCATGAAATCACCTCTCGATATGCTACTTAAAACCTCCGGAATGTTCCCTGTATCGAGTATAGGTCCTCTGCTTTCAGTAGTACGGGCCCATACTACCTGCTACATCTACCCATACTTTCCACACGGACCATCCCCGAGTTCCTAAGTAGCTGCTTGACCTTCTCAATCACCAACCCCGTCATGCGTGTTCGCTCCTCTTATGATGCCAGCCATCTACCTCCTGAATATCGTCATATTCACTTAGTAGTTGACTCTCATCATCAAGAGTTCCACAAAGCACGAAGCAAGCAGCATTCGGGCATCGAATAATCTCTACCAACATGTAAAACCACTCTAGGTTATTACCCACTTGCTCTCCTCATACTCAAAGGATACCACCGAACTCATGCAACCTTACCCCACGCGGGCGTTTGACTACTCTATCAGTAGACTCCTCAAATGCTCATCTAGGTATCTCTCCTAGATTACTCCTCTACTCAAATCCCTCTCTAGAGGATTCCTGCTGGATACTCTTACTCAACACATGCTCGAAAGCACAACACAGATAACAATAACTCCTAGGCTAAGGCATCACAAATCAGGCCACTCTAGTCCTAACATATGAAATACCTAGCCTATATCTAGCATGCATAATATCTCATAGCATATCTCATAAATATCTCATAATACAAACGTAAGGGTATTGTGGGAAATCACCGTTCGGGCTCTGGCTGATTGTACACACTGCTCCAACTCGTATTCTTTTAGAAACTCTTGCTCGTTTTAGAAAAATCATTTCCTTGAAATTTTTTCTCAAATCCTCAGTTTGAGTCCAGATTTACCCGAAGGTGCATCCGAATCCCTCAAACCAAGGCTCTGATACCAACTTGTAACACCGTAATTTTTCAAACAAAATTTTCATTTTTAAATCGCATGCTTTTCGTAACATATTGTATAGAAATCTCGTTTATTCAAATTACAAAACACAAATCCATTAATAAGCCAGGATCCTCAAAACGTGACTCTTTCCCTGGTGTGTACAATCAACCCGGTGCCTTCCCGCGATCCTCTGAGATACCTGAAACACATAACACATAACACGGTAAGCACGAAGCTTAGTGAGTTCCCCAAAATACCACATATAACACATATTAGCCACTTGAGGCTATAACTCTGTGGGCCCACTGGCCCTAACTCTATGGACCCTCTGGTCCTAACTCTGTGGACCTTCCGGTCCTAAGTCTGTAAACTCTGGAATACACATAGAAATAATGCAGTGCAACATATCATATACATAGCACACAAGATACTCTGTCACATAACTCTTCTTACCACTCAAGGTAAGGTATAGTGAGAAGACTCACCTGACCAGCAGCAAGTAAAGACCCCGCTCCCGGATCTCGAACTAGCCTCCACCTCTTACTCAAGCCCTTGCACGAAGTTACACCAGATCCACTGATTCTCTAGCTCCCTTGATGGGTGATCTACTCTTCTCCTCAAGAGATGCACTAGTTTACTCCAACTTTTAGCTTCTAAGACTCTCATGGCTCTCCATACACGTTTAAGGGTTTGCTCTCAAGGAAGGGTAGCCGCAAATGAGGCTATAAGTTCCTTTAAATAGGTCTCAAACCCGGGAAATTAGGGTTTCTCTGCCCAGCACCTACTCGACGAGTCCCTCCTCTGACTCGTCGAGTCCATTCATTAAATTCACGCGATCAACTCGACTCGACTCGGCGAGTTGGTCCCTCAACTCGTCGAGTCCCTCCTTAAATCTCAAGATTAACATACACGATAATGTCCCTGGAAATCCGGATGTTACAGAAAGCACCTTGATCAATGGAAAGTACATTGATCTGTAAGGGTGATCTGCTAAACAACTTGGAAGACATGGTAGGCCCTTGTGCTGCCAGATGGAAAGAAATTAAGATTAGACAAGTTCAGTCCATATGAATTTGGATTTGTCACAAACTTGTCTTCCGATAATGAAAAATTCACATGGATAGGAACACATACACCATAAAATCTAAGTGACAAGGTTTCTCTCCGCTTCATGAAAATGATTGTGAGGAAATTCTTTCATTTAGGAAGATTTTATGGAGATAGCAATTGTGTAAAATTGCATTCTCAAATTCAATTATGATTACATCATCCTTCCTCATAGTTCGAATTGTGAGATTTGACGATTAGTCTGAACATTTGGATCTTATTGCTATAAGTTCTTGAATTGTTTAGACACACATATGAGCTATCTAAGGAAAAGTGTATAAGTTAGAGAAGCTTGGATAAAGGCTTATCGAAGCATCTCATATCAGAAATATGAACTTTGGTAAGAAAGTCAATATGTATTGATTTCTAGAAGTCCCAGCTGTTTTCTGAATACATGTCGAAGCTAGTGGGAGCATAGGTGTTATGCTGGTAAGGAAATAATTATCATGTTAGTGGGAGCATGATTATTATGTTAAGTATTGCGAGTTAGCAATATTAATTATAGAAAACAAAAGTTTCAATTCGCAAAGTATGCAGAGGTTGAAAAGTTGTTTTGCTATAATTAAGGGAGAGAATATTATACTTCATTTCAAATCTAAAAGCTTAGATAAAGAAATTAACATATGAACTTGTAAACTACTACCATGGTAAACTACTAACATATGAACTTGTTCTATGTTCCATCCATTCCAATCTACTTCTGTTTTTTGCATAGATGGAAAAGGAAACTGTGAAAGATATCATTGAAGAAGTTGATGATGAATTACATAAAATTGTGTTCAAAGTGATTGAAGGAGATATCTTGGACGTGTATAATTCCTTTAGCTTCATCCTTACGACCAGAGATGTGGGCGATAAGAAGTTTGTTATCTGGACTATAGAGTTCGAGAAGGCGAATGCAAGTATACCGGATCCAATATCGTATCTGGACTTGGTTTGTGGATTAGCTCGAAATATTGATGCTCATTTTCTCAAGTAACCATGATGTCGTCGATATATTCACTAAATAAATGTTGCTGACATTATGCATGTATATCAGCTCCAACAGCGACTTGCTTGGTAACAACAGAATAAAGGGAAGTGAGATTGTTTAATAAATAAATGTCAGCTGCCGTATTTATAAATATTGATGCTTGTGAAGATACATATTTGTATAATTGTATTGTAAACTAGCATGGTGTAATGGTGTATTTCAATTACTTGCAATTGTTTCATCTTTTGCTTGATTTTTGAAATTAAAACTCACTTTTGGTAGTCACGTTTAGTGTTTATGTTTTTCTATTAGTTTAAGACTTCCAAATGGTTTAAGTAATGTGTAAAACTATGGAATGGTTTAAGACTTTTATTTTGCTTTTTAAGGTTTTGATCAGCTGCCCCGGGTGGCAGGTTGGACAATGGCCGAGAGCCCTAAAATCGTGTAGGGCCCATTTTAGAAATGTGTTAGTGTTTGTATAGGAGGCCCATATATTTATTTTTCAGTTTTCAATGCCAATCGTCCCCTCCTTTCTAATCTGTTGAAGAAAGACCGAAATCAGTTATCAGAACATCGATTCATCATCTTCATCAGGGTTTTAACTTATAGTTTTCTGATTTGTATGAAATTTGTTGATCGATTAAGCCTTCATCCATCAAGAATCTTAGAAACAATCAGGTAAGAATAAGAACTCGAGTTTTGATTTCCTAATTTCTTAGATTTATCTGTTTTTTCATTGTCTGATTTCTTCTCTTTTATCCTCCAAATCGATTTTGTTGCCCCAGAACCGATTTTTGAGTTCTGAGTTCGATGATTATATCAGAGTATCAAAATACAAAGTGTTTTTTTTTCTTCTGATTTATCTTATCACGCAAAGTTATGGACTTTACTCTTGTGTTTCTGGTTTTAATCGTGCTTTAAAGGCCAATCAAACACAGTTTTTTTTCTTCTGATTTCTCTTAACAGGCCCAAAGTGTTTTAATTTATAGTTTCTGATTTTCTTTTCAGTTTTCATATGCGAATTTTGATCGTGTAAGTTTCTATATGTCATTAGTGTAGGTGATTGAATAACTGAAAAAAAAATATTAATAATAACAATAAATAATAAAAATGTCTAAAGTACAATCTTTTTGCTAAAGTATAAAAGCCTACGTTTTATATATATAAGAAGTACACATTTGTTTAAGGGAAAATGCAATAAAGTGATTAGGTATTGGTCTTATAATCGATTTAGTCATTATATTTTTTTATTCAATTAAGTCACAAATACCGGTAATTGTATTCAATTTAACCTCTTGACCCGGTCAACAGGTCATTCAACTTTCAAAAATTACATTTTTGGCCCAGATTTCAAATTATTACAAATTTGGTCCAAAATTTACATTTTTGGCCCAGATAATAATATGTTTCTTAGAAAATATTTATTTTAAAGCCAAAATAAATAAATAAATAAATAAATGATGAATGATTTGGCTATGTTAAAAAAGATTTGATGGACAAAATTGACCATCACACTATTTATGATGATTTTGCTTCTAAAAAAACACGTAAATGTAAATTTTTTAGTTTTCTTTGTTATGTTTATATAATAGGGTTCAAAGCATGTTATAACCTGACATTTTATTGTTTTGTATTATTAATTTTCAGTTGTTTGGCTGAAGCCTTTTTCTTTTGTATTGGTAGGGAGTCTTACTTGCAACTATATTTTATTTTAATTAATAAAATTTTCCGGATATACCACCCTATTTAAAAATAAATAAAAAAAATAAATAAAAAAATAATAAAAAAGAGTAAATTACACTAATGGTCCCTATGGTTTGGGGTAAGAGCGTTTGACCCCTAAAATTTTTTTCTAACTCGGATCGTCCCTATGGTTTAATTTTATTGCATTGTTGGTCCCTGATGGACTTAAAATCACCAATATACCCTTATTTATTATTTTATTTATTTTTAACTAATTAAAATAAATTGTTTAATATGTATGGGTCCCACCTTAATCTCTTCGTCCTTCTCTTGAATATGTAGGTGTATTCATCTACCTTCTTCTCTCAAATCTCACCTGGGAATACCAAACCAAATCCTCTCATCTCTCTCCCTCTCTCAACTTCGACGAAGTCATACCACCATCACCTACCAAATACCTAACAACATTGTCGTCACTGCCTTGTCGAGTGCTGCGATTTGGGGGCGAAGGTGAAAGCGGAAGGTGGTGGAGCCACAGACTCATTATCCAAATTTAGAGCAACTCTCCATCTCCGATCCGACGTCCTCATATGCCTCTCACCTCCAATGTAGCCATCTCTGCCATGGCGGTAATCGAGGAAAACTCGTCGGATATCGGTCCTCCGATCTGGAACACTCATCTACGCCTCTCACGTGAACAATTGCGTTTAGTGAAGAACTTGTTTTGTTATTATTAAATGATTTTCACTAACGGTTCTTGAAGAACAACTTATGAACTGATGGAGAACAAGATGATTTTGGTTTGTTGATTATCATGTTTTTTTTAAGAGGAACTGGTCAAGAACAGATGAAGATGAGGACGGTTTTGGGTAATTTGGGTGGTTTGATCTGAAAAATTAGTTGGATTCAATGGGTTGATGTTTGTTGAATCCGATAATAGTGATGAACATGATTTAAGTTCCAATTGATTCAATTGTCCGGAAGTTTCTTTGGGTAAATTGATGTTTTGTTAAATTTGTGATTCCTGGTCAAAGTTTTGCTGAATGATTGAGGTAATTTTACTCATGTGTAACTAAATAACTAATGCATATTTGTTCAATGGAAATTGTTTCTGGATTTGATTTAGGTCAGAAATAGAGGGAGACTGGTTTGGATTTTTGCAAATTTGGTTTTCTGGATTTGATTTTCAGGGAGGCTTTATTTTTTGTTTTGTTTTGTTTTGATCTTTTAACATGCAGGGGGGAGGTTGAAAGGTTTAAAACACAGGGATAGATACCGGAATTGGTGGCCGAAGATATTTGTTGGAGTTGGTAGTTGGAGATTTGTGTTGGAGAAGGTGGTCGGGTATCGGTGAAGGAAGACCGATGAGAAGGACGAATGGATTTGGGTAGGACCCATACATATTAAACAAATTTTCTAATCAATTAAAAATAAATATAATAATTAAAACAATAAATAAGGGTATATTTGTTATTTTAACTCCATCAGGGACCAACGATGCAATAAAATTAAAAGATAGGGACGGTCTGAGATAGAAAAAAAAAGTTAGAACCAAACGTACAAATGAACGGAAACCATAGGGACCATCTGTGTAAGTTACTCAAAAAAAATCTATACATCTGTAGCGAACGACCTCATTTTTTATTTTGCTTGTAGTGTCAAATCGTCTTCAGACGGCCTTGGATCATGACCTTTAAAGCGTTAAATCATTTTTTTGGTATTTTGGTACTCTTAAATAAATGCACGAGGTTCATCAACACGTGTTTCCTCCCTATGGTGGATTTCGAGTGCAAGGATGCACGTATTAAAAGTAAAAACATAATAATTTGTTGTTGACTATAAATATGTCAACTTTTTTACTATTGTTAATGTGTATATTTACCGTTCAACATCAATCCTTCTTCAATACGCTCAATTTTTATATCAGTTGTTAAGGGATTTCTTTTTCAATAGTGATTTGAGCGTTGTCTTTATATTTTTGACTTTTTGTATTGTACTTTATATTTATATCATCATGTACATGGCACGTGGAGAAGGACCATGTCTGAAATAGAAATCAATATGTAGGGAATTCTTTAGGAAAATATCAAAATTACTGCCAGAGCCTAGTTGGCACAACAAGCTAGCTAGGGCTCGCAACAAAAAAATATGGGTACAATAGGTAAGTTAGTCCGTGAAGTTGAAATCAAAAGTGATATTAACTTGGTTTATGAAATCTACAAACACAAACCAAACAACTCTGCAGTCATCTCCCCTGATAAGGTTCAAGGTTGTGATTTTGTTTCAGGTCAATGCTGTGATCCTGGATCTGTCATTGGCACTTCATCCATGGTAAACTATTTCAACTATGATAATTCAACATGAAAATTTGTTCTATGTGTGATCAATGTTGGTGATTTGTTATCATCAATGTTATTTAAGTGTAATGGGATTACTTTGTTGACCAAAAGTAATATTTATAAATATTAAACAAGTAAGGAAGGTGTGGAGTACACACTTGTTTAAGTTTGATCAAGTTTCAAAGTACACTGTCATTTAGGGGCGAAGCCCCTTAACGAACAGGGGTCTGGGGGCAGCGCCCCTAAGAGCGGGTCCAAGGGGCGGCAGCCCTTGGCGGGTTCCAAGGGGCAGAGCCCCTGGCTGGGGTCGAGCTGTCATATGACAGTTTTATGACAGTTTTTATGGTTTTATGACAGTTTATGTCAGTTTTTATGGTTTTATGACAGTTTTAAACTGTCATATGACAGTTTTAGTTTTCAGACAAAGATCTTAAAGTTGGTTTTGATCTTATTTCTGGTACATACAAAAATATCATCTCATTCTCTGTTATTTTCTCAATTTCTAAGTATTATCCGATAAAAGATTAGGGAGTACCACCCAAATACTTTGATTTGAAAGTGATAATCACGATTTTCAGAATTTCCAAGCCTTTTTTTACCCCAAAATTCTAACAATCAATACGTACACACATATTTATTTATGTATGTATGTGAATACTAATTACGGTTTTTTTCGAAGATGGAAAAGTCGAAACTGCAAAAGAAATGGTTGAAGAAGTTGATGATGAATTACACAAAATTGTGTTCAAGGTGATTGAAGGAGGAGTATTGGAGGTTTATAATCCCTTAATCCTCACGGTTAATATTGAAGATATGAGTCATAAGAAGTTGGTTACCTGGACTATGGACTTCGAGAAGGTGAATGGTTGAATGCAAAGATGCCTGATCCAACACCATATTTAGACTTGCTTTGTGCTATGGTCGGAGATATGAATGCTTATTTTCTCAAGCGGCCATGATGGTGACAATAAAAGGAAGTGATTGTCCAATAAAAAAAATATAGTCGATATATTTGTGACGAATATTGCATAATTTGTGATTAAAGAACATTTTGTAATTGCAGGTTATAATTGTTGTAATTACTAGATTTCAAGTGGAGAAACCAATTAGTAAAGAAATGAAATAATGGAATCCATGTCTAACGGATGAAACCTAAAATGCTTACGGTTTTAGTTGCCTTTTGTTCGTAGTATTTTGTGGGATTTTATAGGAATCAAAATTTAATTCCGTCCAACTCACACGTTTAAATGCAAAAATACATTTAAAAAGGTAATCCAGAGAAATTCAACAAAATACTTTACTACATGGTTTCAATATTCTAATTTTTTTTAAAAATCTACATCAAGGATGAGATTTGTGCACTTTATTATGGTGAAAGACAATCGCTAAAGGTTGATATCCGCCTCAACTAGGGGTGGCAAATCGGGTCATTGTGTCGTGTTTCTGTCTGACACGGCATGAAACGACAATGTTTTTTGTAACACGAACATGAAACGATACGATGTCGTGTTCTTTTTAACTAACACGAAAAGGAACCAATTAATAAAAGACAAACACGACACGACATGACAAAGATAACATAATATAACAGTTAGTTTATTTAATTAATATTTAATCATATATAACACGAAAACACGACAAACACGAAAAACACGACAAATAAATGCTAAATCGTGTCAATTTCGTGTCGAATTTTGAACACGAACACGACACGCCACGACATCGTGTTTTTTACATTTGACACGAACACGACACGAACACGAATTCAAATTTCAATTTCGTCCCAATTTCGTTTCGTGTCGTGTATTTTTGTCGTGTCATGTATTTTTGTCGTGTCGTGTCAACAATTGCCACCCTAGCCTCAAAATAGCTTTGGGAACAAAAGTCTATCTAGGATAGATTTGTAATTTACTACAAATTTAAAAAAAAAAAAAGATAATTGTAAGAATTGAATGTCACTAAAAGGATTGGAATCCGTTCTTTGGTTTGCTTTAGGTATACTAGTTGTTTAACCAAAGGTAAGATACCACATTGTAAAGACGAGTATCCAATGCTTCAGGCTCATTCATTAGATGGCCATTTGAAGAACAATTTCCTTTGATTTGATAGTGATATGGAGAACAATGTCCAGGAAACTCTAACTAAGAGAAGGTTGTATATAATGTAGATTTAGACAGAAATTATGGAGGACCTGTTGACGGCTGACGGTGTATTGCAATGATATAAATAAATTATAAAGATATATAAAATCTCCTCTCTATACTATGTATAAAATGAATTAATCTATAACATCCCTAAAATAAGAAAACTATCAGGTGATTAGTGGTTAGTGATTAGTGACCTAAACAAAGATAACTCGGTTTTAATGATGTATATGAAATACAAATACATAAGAAACGTAATGGGATTCTTTTAGAATGTGAACTGATTGGAGTCTACAAGGATTATTGTATAGGCTATAAGAAATTATCCAGCTCATAATTTAGTTGGCTATTAATATATTTTATTGTAAATTACACAAATGCTCCTTGTGGTTTGGGGTACTTTGCGTTTTTGTCCATAATTATTATTTTTTTAACTTTGAAGGACTTTACTATATGTTTTTATTGCACGCTTGGTCCCTGGTTGAAGTAAAAATACTATTATGCCATTATTAAATTCTTTTATAATTAATTTTATGGTTATATATATATATATATATATATATATATATATATATATTATAATTAAATTTACGATGTATAGTACTAAATTAAACAAATTATCATCCCTAAAACCTAAACCCACCATCGATCACCTATTCTCGCTTACTTGAGGCTACCTCTCGTCACCGATAGCTCACAAGCCACAAACACTCTCGTTGTTTCTACTTAGGAGAAGAAGAAGTGACTGGTGGACTAGAGGTGGACTAGAGAAGAAGAAGGGACTGGTGGACTAGAGGTGGTTCACCAGAGGCAAAGGAATGGTAGATGTAACGTCCTGATTTTCAAAGGTAATTTGTTTCATTTTAGTTATTAAAATATATCGTAATATAATTACATTAAGTGGAAACATGTTGTGAATGCGCATATAGTCGAACCATGTCTTTCTCACGAAGTTCCTGAAAAACATTTATAACAATTGGGTAAGCGCTAGGCTTAATGAGTTCCTCAAGATACCATATACCACAATACATATATATGAATACAAATGGGCCACACCGAAACTACAAAATGGGTCCCGCCCGAGCTACCTAACGGGCCCCGCCCAACATACATAATGGGCCCCGCCCGACATACATAACCATACATAGAGGCTACACATCAAGTTCCACTGATATGGGCACATAGAAGCTATAGTATTAGCTCTATTATGCTAACTTCTATGTCTTAACATAAATGGATATATATTTTAAAAAATTATATAGTGTGATAACTCGCCTTAACAATAATTTAGAAAATTAACAGCTATCTGGGAGATTATATTGGCGATTCAACTGGCAGATAACATACCGAACAAGTATTAACCTATAATACTTTAACATATTAATTTATATGACGATTTGGTAATGAAGACTAGATCCTTCACTAATCCGAATGAATACTGAGAGTTCTATCAAATAAGGATCAGTCAGGCTTGACAGTTAAGAGGAAGGACCATTTTGGCATATAGTCTTTCTAAAATCAAAAATTCAAGCCAACGTGACCATTCTAGACACTTCTCCCGTAAGTAGATCAATAAACATCATAACTGGAATTATTGACGAATCTAGCATTGATAGGTTCCTAATAACGACTATAATTATGAATATGAGCCATCCTAAAAGTCTAGTAAGTGTAGCTTCACTTAAAGAGGGTTTCTGACGAAACCCAAAAAGTCGCGGATAGGACCCCAATACCAAGCACTTCTATATGGTCGACTTTCTACCTCAGAGCCTTGTCAGAAAGAGATTCCTCAGTACACGAAAAGGACCTAAGAATTTCGGACTCCAGGACCAAATAAATGAGAATGGTGTGGATGGAAAGCATGAGATCTACAACCTATATATATATATATATATATATATATATATATATATATATATATATATATATATATATATCCAATTTTGGGGTGCGCTCCGTGCACATGGTTAGGTGTGCACTGTGTACTCGATCAGGGTGCTGACGTAGCACCATACAGAAAGTACCACATGGCGAAATCTGGGTGGTGTGTCATTGCACGCCGCAGACTTGGTCTGTACATACGAGCTCGCGTGCAAACTAACATATTCTTCAAAAAAATCATATATTCTCCATACAAGCTCCATTTTCGATGTTGTTTATATGCACGTGTAGCTATCGATGAGATCTACAACTTTCATTTAGACTCCGTCGGCTAATTCTCACTTTATTTTTAAAACTATATTTTTAACAGCCATAGATTGTTAAAGCCCGTACAAAAATTATAACTCTCTCTTATGAATTCTGTTCTCAATTTTCTTTATATCGACGGAATCATATGGATCAGATCTTCAACTCTCATTTAGATTGTTTTTCCTAACAATCAACTGATCTCTATTTCGGTTTCTGTATCGCACAATGCTACGTTGAAATTTCTAGAAATCATAACTTCCTCGTACAAAGATAGATTTTGGCGTTCTTCATGTGTATGATCTCGATTTTGCCATTACAATGAGTTCTGTCAAGATTATTTACCCTAAATAGTCTCCTATCAAAAAATGTTTATTTACGTGAATGGTCGTTTATGCTATAAGGCGAAAACGGGGTGTTACGAATCTCCCGACTTATTGAGATTTTGTCCCTGAAATCCTATTTCTAGAGCACCTTAAGATAATTCATATATTTTCCTATTGGGGTTTCATAAGATCAACATAGGATCAAGCTAACGTTAATGCATCAAATTCATCCATCCGTACCTATTTGGCGGTAGAACTTTGTTTTCCACCTTTAGGCATACTCCCTAACTCCTTGCGAAGTATTCCAAAAACGGGAATTCGTCGGTTTAGACTTCCAAAAATTACATGCTACGATTGACGATCACTTTCAAACGTAAAATGTCAACACCATCGACTGGTTATGAGGTGATTAACTATGAAGTTTTACCTATGACATCCTAAAGGAATCCATTTTCAGGAATATACCTCTGAAAAACCTATGTTATATTGTTAAAACATACACACAAACCTAGACTACAAGCGGTTTCTTTACCTAGTTCGGGTGTTCCAACATCCTGAATTTAACCAAAATTACAATAATGGGTTTACTAGCTTGAAAACACTTGAACCAATGCTTTAATATTGGTGACGTACTCACAATAATGTTTACTTATCTTCCATTATCTGACTGTCCTAAAGGAACCTAGTCATCCTCGAAGGCACATACGTATATGGTTTCTTGGCTATCTGATCCGTACTTGGGAGTTTGGAAATTTCCTAAATCCTATTTGTCGTATGGAGAGGAAAGACCAACCTTTCCCTCATAAACAAGAAACTCATAACCTATAGGTAATCTAACAGAAGACTTCATTCATTTGTTACCTGGAAACGAAACTAACTATCCCCGCCCAATTGTGCTGCTACTCTCCTGGACTTTAATGACGAAACTAACCCTTTGTACTTTTTCCTTAAGGGTTGGTTCTCCTTCACTTGGGTTCGACCCATCATCTGCTGTTGTTTGTCTCTCATTAAGCTAGCTCAACTTACATCTCCTTTTGACTTTAAAGAAACTCATATTTTTCATATCCAATAACCTTTGATATTCCTATCGTAATGCTACTACCGTTATTCTCGTAAGTGGTCTCTGGTAGTACTACGCTAAACAGGATAAGGTCATGACAAGAAAACGTGTTTTGAAATGCGCACATATAATTATATGGGGTATGAGGATACT